GTCTAAAGTGTTTCTTTGTTCTACCCTCTCAACTAACATACCTTATTGCTTCTGTGGTCGCTATGAGTTGCCAAATAGGTTTGATAAATTCATTAACTTCAGTAATGAATATTCTGTTATTTATAGTAACCCTCTCCTTTCAGTGCCAGCAGTGAGATTTCATAAATGTTGTGGATAATTACAGACATACTAGATTAATGCCGTGCTCTCTTAGCCTGCCTTTGACATGCAGGCCATGCAGTTTACGTATTGTGGAGCAGGGTCATTTTGGAGGCCCTTATCTAACTGATTTCCTCCCCGTGGTCTCTCCTTAGTCACCAGAGGATTTGAGCTCTAAGAGGAGAGACCCAGGTTGAAACGTGACTGATCCTTCCTCACCTATTACCTTGGATTATGTAAAAATATTAGTCTATTTCAGTCCTCTTTTTCTGGTGGAGAAGGGTACTTTTCCTTTATCCTCTTGAATCAGATACTAAATTGAAAAGAGAACATTGTATTCAGAAAACTGGATTGTTAGAAGCACCATATTTTAAATCTGTAGCATTTGAAAAGGATTTAAACAGGATCAGATCGACAGAACCTAAAAACGTCAGCTGATCAGGTTTTTATTTTAGGCTACTGAGCAAAGATTTCTTGGAATATTAAGTAATATATAATTTAATGAGATACCATCAGAACCTTTACTTGTCTCTGTGAATTATTATTACCTAGTTCAGAAAGTAGTATTATTCCATTACAAATTACCCCTATAAATCTCTCCCTTCTGAAACCATCTGCTATTCCTTTTATCATTTGTAGTTCTCAACAGGAATCTGATGATTGCCTACCACTTTATCCATGAACTGCAAAACCACAAGTCTGGTTTTTTTGGGTTTTTTTTTTTTTTTTAATGTTAAGAACAAGTGCTGCATGGGGCTATTTTAACCACAGAATTAAGTTAGCTTTAGAAAGCGAAGCATAGAAATGTAGGTCTCTGTTGTATTAAAAAGAAAGGAAATATTAGAAGCAGTCTCTCTGCTGTAGTTCAATGAGAAATCTTATGACAGGATATTTCATATCTGGCAACATTTTGCAAGGCGATTTTTTTCTAATGCCTCTTGTTCTCCTCCTTTATGAAGCCTGTGCTCCCACCAGCTGAAAGGAAAGAGCCATGGACAGCACAGTAGATGTGTCTTAGCTGACTATTTTGTACTGGCACCCCCAAGAATTTGTCATCCTACTTGAATGTTTTATATGTTTCTTGTCAAACTCCAAAATAATACTAGTTTAAATATTAGTTGTATCACAAGTTTAATTTCTTTGTAATAAGGTTTCATCTCCTGTCATGTATTATACAGAAGAATATAAATATTTTGTGAAGTCTATAGATTAGAGGATGGGGTTAGAGGTTTATATAAGAAGACTGAAATTAATGCCTTTCTGGGGTTTTTTTGGAGTTGGAAAAAGCAATTTATTTTTCATGCTTCACAGGTCTTGACAATTTTGATTTGTTTTCTTTGAAAGCAGACCTGTTTGAATTGGATGATGTAGGAAGAATCCCTAAAAAAAAAAAAAAAAAATCAAAAGCCAGCAACCTCTTTTCAAAACAGTAGCCAATGAAAAAGAATATGAGTCTTCCAGGTCTTTTAACTTCTAGTTTGTTATTACCTCTTCAAGGAGAGGAGGCTCTATGATTATCAGAGACAAAAGAAGAAACAGCAGTGGAAAGAGATTAGGTTGGAAATTTGTAGCCAGTTGAAGCAATGACATTGTTAGTGAAGATTCTGTCATTTATCCTTCATGTTGTTTCATCACAATGTTTCTTACTCTCCCCATAGAGAACAAAACTGTTAATTACAATGTATATGAAAGAACACTAGGAAGATTTTAAGTAAACTTTTTAGGACCGCTTATAATATTATAGAGTCATAAAAGTGAATATAGATTTTGAATGAGAAGGAGCAAAATAAAGCAATGGAAAGATCTTTAATTCATATGGAATTTTAATAAGCTGAGGGATTTCTTTTTTCTCTAAAAGCATTCAGAGTGTTTTTGCTTGTTAAACTTTGCTGTTTTACTGATACTCAGGGTCTTTGCAAGCAAACTTCTGTAATTCTTTGCAAAGAAGAAAAGAAAACTTCTGAGATTTAAGCTTAAAAGGCAAAATGAAACAACTCTCAAATTCTGGTTTGGTTAGAGTCTACTGTTTGCAAATTTAATCAAGGTCTTACACAGGCATCAGCTTGACATTAAATTTAAGTGCCCATTAAAGTGAAAGTATGACAGCAGTTCTGAATGTGAAGCTCAGTCTGAGGACATCTTTACAGCTGGAAGGGGAAAAAAAGTTGAGAAGCCTCAAACCACTGTGGTAATTAGATCCATTTGTTAACTTCTTTCCTAATGTTGGCAGAGGGAGGGAGAGAGGGTTGACAGAAAGGCAGGAGAGGTGGGAACTGGAAAGGCAGTCCAGTGCTCCCTATAGAAATTGTGCATGCAGGGTTGTGTGTTGCAAAGAAAAATGGCAAATATCCCCTCTGACAAATGAGTAAGGGAAGTTATTTTAAGAACTTTTTTGGTTTGTCTGTTTTCAATGCCCAGACAACCGCAGCGTGTGCATTTTGAATAGGTATGCAGTTTGGTTGTCGGGCCCTTTGGAAGGTGCACAACATCATTAGGCATAAAGAGTTAGTGTTTCTCACAAGGGTGTCTGTCTAACTTACATTCAGGAAATCACTTATTTACCCAAAGCATCTGGCCTTCTTTCCAGTATTGAGTTCTTTTTTGTCAGGTAGTATTGCTGAAATCTAACACTTTTCACCATAATTGGCACTGTAGGCAATTAGCTTTGTGACTCTTTGGATATCTTGTCACCTGTTAGGAATAGGAAGTTATCATCTAACCTTCCTGCCAAAAGTGATACTATTTCCTGTTACTGGGTTTGCTTTCTATCCCATAAGCTCTTTTTGTCCATTGCTTCATGACATTTTCTTTTTTTCCAAGAATTATCACTGTAGAACCTTATCGAAAGGTAAAGAATATCTCTGTATATAAAGCTTCTATATTTCCTCTGAGCTTTCAGTTGCAGTACTGTTTTTGAACATTGATGACGAGGTAGTGAAATAACACTGCTAATAAATGCATGATGGATTTTTCAGTGCAGCCTTGTGTTTCAAGGTATTCATTCACCCTAATAGGATTTTTGATTTTGTTTAGTTTTGCACTGAAAGTGTAGAGAGAAAATAAATTCAGCAAATGATGCATTTTAAGATTCTGTATAATAAGAAACCTAACCATCTCACACAAATTTTCCTGATGCCCGCCTCTTTTTTTAAATTCTAGCTTGCACTTGGGTCATAGAGGATACCAAATCATTACTGACTAAAAGGACATAGTGCTACATTTTTCTTTTATTTTCCCTTTCATTACAGAAAATTAAAAATGGTGATTTAATAACCCTCTACTGCTCTTAACACTTAGTTCTCTCTAGAGTTCCTGCTTGGTTCTCTTCTCCAAAAATCTCCCTAGGTGATTGCATTCACTTCCATGGTGTTACTTTCCATCCATTTGCAAATAATTCCCAAATCTTTTAAGTCCAATTTAGACTTCTTCTCTGGGCACAGACCCATCCATCCAGCTGCCTCTTGGGGCTTCTTCATTAGGATGTCACACAAGTATCTCTAAAGTGTCCAGAATCGAACTTGTTCTTTCTCCCCATTAGTTGGTCATTGTAGAAACTCTGAAGCTAACCTCAGCCATTCTCTCACTGCTCACTTTTTCCACATGTCCATGTCCAATTGATTCTTTTCAAATACCAGCATTTCTAAACCAGTGGATTTCAAATAGGGACAGTTTTCCCAGCAAGATATATCTGATAATGTCAGGAGAGATATTTGGTTGTCATTACTGAAAGGAGGCTTGCTACTAGGACCTAATAGGTAGAGGCAAAGGATGCTGCTAAACAGCCTATTACCCAAAGTATTGGCCGCCTTTCCAATACTGAGTTTAGGACAGCCCTACACAACAAATATCTAGCCTAAAATATCAGTGCCGAAGTTAAGAAATCCTAAGTGGTTTTCCATTCTCACTTGTACTGCATTGGCTTATTCTCATCACTTCTAGCTTGTATTACCACAGCAATCTTTTAATTTATCATCCCAGTCTCCATTTGCCAACCCTGCACCCATACCCACATCCTTCAAATGTAACCTGAGTACCTTCTCCCCTCCGCAAGTGTGTCTTCTTAAACACAGCTCTCCATTACCTATATGATGTAGTCTAACTCTCCACGATTTCATGTATGAAGACCTCCATGACCTGACCCCTGCTTACCTCTCTAGTCCCATCTGTTGCCATTCACACTCTATTCTGTGATCCAACTGCATGATTTTGCCATTCCAAACAAGCTTGCTTTGCTTGTTCACTATGCTCGATCATCTCACCCATCGTTATTACTCTTCCTACCTGGAATACCCTTTCATTTCTTGCCCTGCTAACTACTGTTTCTTCCTTAAGGCTCTCGTTAGGTACATGCTCTTTTGGCCTTCTCTGATGAGCCCAGTATAGGTTCATTGTCCTTTTTAGACCATCTAACATGTTTCTATCACAGTACTTATCTTTATAATCATCTGTTGACTTTTATGTTCCCTTTCATTGGACTGTAAAGTCTTT